GGCTAGGTAGAAAAATTCTCCCTTGAGCACCCACTCCCAAAAAAAAAAAAAAAAAAGGATCCGCAACCAACCACAACCATCTAATTGATTAAAACGATAACCTCATTCCAAGATAATTAGTACCTTCTAATTTTATGCAATCCACCGGTATTTGCACTACCTGCGTGGTTGCTTTTGCTATATTAGACTTTGCGATGGCTAAATCTTGGCAACCGTGGTGGGATATCTACTGTGACGTGAGTTTATCAATCGTTTACTAGCAATCAACTGTGGCATGAGTTTATCAATCGTTTACTAGCAGAAGGGAGGTAGGGTTCCAGGGTGGGGCTATCGATTAGTTGGTGGAGCGAAGTAGTGCGGTAAGGACTAGGCTGGGTACAAATTCATTTTTTTCTCTCTAAAATTAGCAAGGTTGATGATGCACTCGATCTCTACCTTCAAACGCCATCCATTTTCTTTCTAAATTTCATGAGAAAATTAAAAGGTAAAAGAATTATGGATAGGTGAAGTGGAATGGGTGGAGTGAGGTAGGATGTGTTGTAGTAGAATATTCCTGATTTTTTAAAAACAAAAACTACTAAATGAATAATGAAATTGAAACTTTAAAAAGTAAGGTTTAAGGTAATCTCCTCAAAAAAAAAAAAAAAAAAAGGGAAAAATATGGAAAAAAAAATATTTAAAATTTCAATATTCTCCTTGTCGACTTAGAGCACATGAGATTTTCTTTTTTTAAAGAAATTACTTATTTTTCTAGCTTTTTAGTTTTCAAATATTTACTTAGAAAATCTTTATTTCTTCTTTCAAAACGATATTTTTATTGTTCATTTAGCCAAAAATATTTCCTTGTTTTGTGAGTATTATTAGTCAAAAAGATTTTTCTATTGTACTCATCGATAGTGGATTGTATGCACTCTTCATCACCAGTGTTAATGGCGTGAAAATGCACTATTATCAACTATCATTAACATTATGTTCCACGTGCTCTCTCACACATTAATCGGTATCATGACTTAGCTAGGAACGTTTATAACTTATTCTTTTAGAATAATTAATCTTTTATTGATTGAGGTTAGAACTAAATAAATTAAACTATAAGCAAGATTTTTTCAAACTTAGCCAACCACAAAATCAATTAAAAGGAAATCTCATGCAAACAAAATTCTCTCATTAATGGGGACTAATCCATTTGTATTCAAAACTTGCATCGCAAGCGTCCATTTCAAGTTACTTATCCCAAAAAGTTCGCTCATTTGATCTCTCCCTCTCTCGTACTTTTTAACGTATCAATTCATCATTTGGCCATATTAAATTTATTATACATTTTTTTTAAACTCACATTCTCCAATAATATAAAATTATATATAAATCAAAAAAAAAAAAATTTTTAATCACAAATTCTTGGAGAAAAAGCAAGGGCTAAGTCAAAATATTTAACGGGCCTTTGACCAAATAATGGCCCAAGAGGTTTACGGCAGACCTAGGATTCTCTTTTCCACCAATTCCGTCACCCGTCGTGTCAACTCTAAGCAACTGACACATCACGAACTGCTTTGACTCATGTCGCCATGCCATAATATCTTTGTAAAAAATTATAAAATATACTAACTTTTTTTGGTTCTCATTTACTTTTGATATTAAAATAAGTATGCATGCTAATTTTAGTTGTTGATTGTCTTTATTGAGAAAAAAAATAATATTTTGAATACTAATTTTTTAAAATTTACGTGGATGAAAAATAGAAAAAAAAATTGAATTTACGTGAAAAATATTTTTTTTTGTGAATACATGATTAAAAATAAGTAAGATAATTAAAGAATTTTATTTTAAAGTGAAACAAACATTAGCTTAATTAGGATAATTCTTGTGGTATATCAAAAGGTACATCAGGGTATCTATAATGGACACTCAGCGCACTCCCATTGGTGGGGGAGAAACGCGCCGAATGTCCATTATGGACACCTTGATGTACATGGTGACGTACATCAAGAATTATCCGCTTAATTATATAAAGATTTCACTACTACATGATGTTGGGTTAATTTTCATGTTTTTAGCTCCTGTTTTACTCTCGTTAAATTAAATTTTTTTTTTATTTTTCATACTCATTTTTATTCTCACATTCACGTAATAAAATATTCTGCACGTAAATTCAAAATTTTTCTTACTTTTAAACTCATAATTTTTTCAAAAAAATTACTATTCAAAATATCATTTTTCTCGCAATTTCTTTACATATTTTACTCAATATTAAGGACGTATATTCACTTTTCAAAAATCACCCAAACTAGACACGATTTGGATCCATTTGTAAGATTTCTTGAGTTTAACCCATTTTCAATATTAGAATCAAGAATTAGACAATTCTACAATGATCATTGATTTTAGCGATAGAATCGAAACCTAATACAACTTAGTTTTAGTATACAATTTTGTATTCTTTTGTACTAAACTTTCGAGATTTTTTATTTTTTTGTAATTTAATTTAACTAAGTTTTGGATAACTGAAGACTTTCTCGATTTTTAATCTCTCAATTAACATCCACTTAAAATTAAGTTGCTAATTATAAACATTTTTCTATTTAAATTAAATTAAATGAACTAAGACGAAGTCTATCAATCAATCCAGCAGGCAGCTACTTTATCGGTTTCACTCTCGTCACTTCTTCTACTCGTTCTACAGAACAAACACTACCCATCGAAAATGGCAGAGACAGCTCCACCGGAAGCCACCCAGCAGTCGCTGTTAACGGCGGAGACAGCATCACTCACAACTCCATCACCACCAGAATCCGCTTTTGTAGATGAAACTGAGCCACCTCTGGCTTCGGTGGCTCTTGCATCAGAGAAAGAGGCGCTACCACCAAGTGAACCGCCACTTACAGTCGAGGAGAGGCTGAAAGAAGCCGTTACTGTTATAGAAAAGGATACCCCTCTATCACCAACGCTCGCGGTGGAGCATGTATCCTTCACCTCCACTGAAAAAGAAACCATCCCAGCACCATCGGTATCACAGCCTCTAGCTGCAGCACTGGAAGTGCCACAAGAGTCTGAATCACCAACTCGGAAAGAAGAAGTAGAACCCAAAAAATCAAAGCCAATGGAAAAGAAAAAAGCTCCAGAATCAATGGTATCTTTCAAAGAAGAGAGCAATATACTATCAGATCTCTCAGATTTCCAGCGTAAAGCATTAGAAGAATTTAAAACCGTCGTCCAGGAGGCACTTAACACCGGTGTTTTCACCTTGGCATCGCCCTCAGATACCTCGAATTTACCCGAAGAAGTATCCATCTGGGGTGTGCCTTTATTAAAAGACGATAGGAGTGATGTGATATTGCTGAAGTTTCTACGAGCACGAGACTTTAAGGTGAAAGAATCTTCCACCATGTTGAAAAACACTATAAAATGGCGAAAAGAAATCAATATTGACGAACTGCTAAAGGAAGATTTGGGGGATGATCTTGAAAAAGTTGTATTTACGCACGGGCACGACAAGGATTGGCACCCGGTGTGTTATAATGTGTACGGGGAATTTCAGAACAAGGAATTGTATACAAAAACATTTGGGGACGATGAAAAAAGAAAGAAATTTTTGAAGTGGAGGATTCAGTTTCTTGAAAGGAGTATAAGGAAGTTGGATTTTTCTCCTGGTGGCATTAACACTATCTTTCAAATTAGTGATCTCAAGAACTCTCCTGGACTGGGGAAAAAGGAGCTTCGCATTGCCACTAAACAGGCATTGCAGGTTCTGCAGGACAATTATCCTGAGTTTGTGACAAAACAGGTACACTAATTGTTATCCATATATGATATGGTATCGGTTTAGAGCTAACCGATTTATAGAAATGTCGAGTAATGATCCATATTTGAAACTTGCGTGTTCAAAAGGATTTTTTTTTAGCATCATAAATGATGTATACATATGATTGATTTAAGTCACTGGTTCTGTGTATTTGTCCTACACTTTGAGCAATAAAAATAGAATCTTGGTAGTCAAAAATTTGTTGCACTAGTATGAATACATAAATGATAACATTAATGTAGGGATTTAGGTGACGGACACTGGTTTTATTCAATGGTTTAAACATTTTTGGTATGTTTGGCATAGTGAATTGGAGGTGTTATGGAATAAAAAATGTTAAAAAAGTTTATGTATTGTCCTATACAGGACTTTCCAATACATTATGCCCTTGATGAAATCACCAGGTGTTTAATCTGTTGTGCATAAGCAAAGCTAAGTTTTTTTGTGTTTCTGAGTATTGTATATATATGGGAGTGTATCAAGATTTGTGATAATCCTCTGATATTTGTTTTTTGTGGTGATTTATGAAGTCGACTACTCACCTTAGTATTGTATATATATGGGGAGTATATCAAGATTTGTGATATTCCTCTGATATAATGCTTGTGTTTTGTGGGCATTTATGAAGTTGACTACTCACCTTACAATGATTTGTCCAATTTAATGTTTTAACTAAAGTAATTGCTTGGGGCTTTTTTAAAAGGTGTTCATCAATGTTCCTTGGTGGCACTTGGCTTTCTACACCATGATGAGTCCCTTCTTGACCCAGCGGACGAAAAGCAAGTTTGTGTTTGCTAGCCCATTGAGAACTCCAGAAACTCTATTCAAGTATGCAAAAACATTGTTTTTCTTCACACTGAAATTATTGCTTTTATACTATGTTGTTTCGTGGTTGCATAATTTGGTTGATTACTGGTGACACAGGTACATATCTCCTGAGCAAGTACCTATTCAATATGGTGGTCTTAGTGTAGATTTCTGTGAATGCAACCCGGAGTTCACTGTTGATGATCCAGCCACAGAGATTACTGTGAAACCAGCAACCAAGCAGACTGTGGAAATTATAGTTAATGAGGTTCAGCTACTAAGCACTTTTGTTTTTCTTTTGTATTTTCATGAAATTCAACTGCATACGAGGGACTCACTCAACTTATACCATTGCTGAAAATATTTCCTCCAAATTAGTCAACAAGTTTTTTATTAACGAAAATGTTGACACAGTGCAGTGGGAGGAGGGGTTGTCCTTAAGAAGATTAAGATTTTTCCCTTTTTATATATTTTTGTTACTTTTGGAAAAAGCAGATTTCAAAGTAAAACTAGTCCAAGATGTGTTCTTGATCAGTTAAAATGTTGCACTAATAAATTCTCATGGTGTGTCATGGTTTTCGTCAGCCATGTTGGCATTTCTGCTGATTAGCAGAGGTAGACGTAGTGCTTAAATAGAAACAAGAATGAAGGTTCAATGACTAATTTAGAAAAAGTTGGTGACCAAAGTGAAGCTACACTACTAACAATATTTTTAACCCTAAGATGATATGACATTGATTTGATGTTTTTACATGGAAAATGAAAGATTAAATTGCTCCACTTTTAATTTGGTATCTGATTGATCTGCAGAAATGCATTATTGTTTGGGAGCTTCGGGTGGTCGGCTGGGAAGTGAGCTACCGTGCTGAGTATGTTCCTAATACTGAAGGTGGGTATACTGTAATCATAGAGAAGGCGAGGAAGATGACCCCAACAGATGAGCCCGTAATCTGTAATAGTTTTAAAATTATTGAGCTAGGTAAGATACTACTCACTGTCGACAACCCTACAGTAAAGAAGAAGAAGCTGCTTTACCGATTCAAGGTCTTTCCCTATGATAATTGATGATCCTTAACTTTCAAGTGTTACTTTCAACATAGCATCAAATTATGGGCATTCCAAATATTCCTCGCTTACCATCCTTATCTCTGAAGTCAGGATATCATGTCTTTGTGTTGTTGATAGAATGATGTTTTTGGGTTGATAGTCGACTTTCTTTTCGTTTTTTTTCGTGCATTTTCACCTGTAGCCGGTCATTCTGTCTATAGATTGACTTAGCATATGTGTTGGAGATGGTTTAAAATAAGAATGCTTGCCGAGAGAATGTAGTAGTACAACTGTAGAACTCTGTGCTTCGGAATTTCTCTTTTATGTTGTATATTTGTGTTATCTGTGTTAATTTTACTTTCCCTATTATACATTACCTGACATATTTGAAATCTTTTCATATTGAGTTTGCTATATATGCAATTATTAGTATTTAGTATTAAGTTGAATGGAACAAAGAAAAATGATTCAAGTAGTCGACCCTATTATGCATATGAATTTACAGATGAGTCCAATTTATTTAAGACTTGGCTCTGCCTATCACAAAAGGCCTGGCAGTGTGCCGGAATCCTGGATCAAGATGGTCCAGAGGAACAGTGCTAAATTGGACTTCGGGTCAGCCCAGGCCTCCCCTTTAACGACCTGGCCAATCCCTTTGACAGAACTACCCCTATGACGATGACCTGCTGCTTTTACCACATTAGATATCAAGATATTCAACGCTCCTTTAATGAGACTAGATATTTATGATGCTTGGGGACAATCGGCCTATGCGGCAATGGGGTCATCGTTTACTGTCAAGTTATCCAATATCTAAAAATGTATTCAAACTTTATTGGACAATGTAACAGTGACATCACTGTCACATAGACAGACGGGTGATTATCTAATGCTTGTGAATAGTGAGGATGACTTTGCCGTATTCTTAGTGCTTTCGCACACTCGTGATATGTTTGGTAGGGAACATTGGACATCAAGAAAGAAAAAAAAAATTATAATCTTGTTCCTTATGTTGTCTAAATGAGTCAGCTTAGTGTTGGTCAAATTTCTTCCTTTTTGAATAGTTGATGTTTTGATAGATAGGCACCCACATAGAGGAAGTGTAGGTGGAATAATTGATGAAATAGTTTGGGGAATAAGGCAACTTATTGAATCAATTATCAGCTCCAGATTATGACAGATATGTGGCATATCTTCTCCATGTGTTAGTCCTTTCTCATTGCTTTATTTTGTTTACCAGTTCAAAACAAGGGAGCATTGTGTTTTAATTTCTCTTAGCTTTTTTTTTTTTTTGTATTAATTATTTGCAAAGGGACACGTGACTTCCTGTGGTTATAGATGGTAGGCAGGTCGATTTGGTAAAGTCTAGAGTTTAGCAAATTGGTATGGGTTACATGGTAACTATGAGATCGGATTTGATGTACTTAACCATCAAACTAAGCGCTTGTATATTATATCGAACTTCTATTTTTTATTTAGTAAGAGTTACTTCTTTCCGTCTCTTAAGAGGTTCTTGATTCGAGATTTCGAGTGTAAAGATGGGAAAGTCCCTATATGTCTCGTCTCGTCTCGTCATGAATGTTAAGCATGGCACGATGAAAACATGGTCCTCGTCCTGAATTCAGGGGCCGTGAATTCCTCGAACTTGTCACCATATATTGTTTTTTTTTTTTTATTTACATGTTTTTCAATATTAAATGTATTTAAAAAATAAAAAAAATATTAAAAAATAATTAAACGGATAGTAAATGAGGACAGTTTAATCAAGTGATTAACCGCATTGCTGACTATAATCTCGTGTCTATTGCTAACCATTCATTTGGCAATCAATTTATAAATTGTATCCAAACGGGACGTACTGGTCGGTTTTAACAATGGGTATTTATGTAATTTTGTTATGAAGCTTCAATTGAATCTTTTTGTTTGGTCAAGAATTGTGGTGGGTCTAAAAATGCAAAAAAGGTATTCGAGTGAAGGCCTAAAAATGTGTCCAAATTCAGACAAGATGTGCAGTGAAGAAGAGACAGGCCAACCAGCACATATATTATGTTTGTCAGACCAAATATGAACTGTAGGAAAATTCCATTTGTACATAAATGGATGACAATGAAGGTTGACAACCTCTCACATGCATGCGGGCTCCATGTGATTAAAAAATTCTAAAAAAAAAGTGGACCTTCCCTATTGTGAGTGTTTGGTCATCCACATTGTCATCCATTTCGATACATGTAGCATGGTTGTCAACTGTATCACATGTTGTTAATGCATCATTTATAGTTCAAAAACGTGTACATTTTATTTTACATTGTATCACGTGTTAACACGTAATTGAATAGTTTAAAAAAAAAAAAAACTTCCCGCTCAATACTATTTGAATTCCAACACAAAATAAAAGAAAAAAAAGGTGTACACTATGGAATTTACACTTAGCATAATTTTTTATAGTTTATTTTTTCTTCTTAGGGGACAATGTACATGTACATTAAATTCAATCTTGCTAAACATAGATCTTAGTTTACATTTTGATTTATCGAATTTACACGGTCTTATATCTTTCACATTTCACATATGTAATCCAACTATTATTACACTTCCATGTCATCAATATGTCAATTAAGGTGTCACACCAAGGTGTATACATAACTTAATCCCATTAATTACATGGGATATTGGTCTATTACTTCATATTTCCTCGTTTGTTTTTTTGAATTATATTATTTAGTTTAACTGATATTACAACATCAATGTATGTGATGTTAAGTGTCATTAATTGAAATGTATAATTAAATTATCACGTAATTTCACCTTTTGATGGAACTTATCACATACTGTCACATAAACTAGTGCTTTAGCAACATTAATGCTATATAGTATTATTCTTTTTTTTTTTTTGTCCTATATTTGTCACTACGAGCGGTTTTTTTTTTTTTAATCTACAGAGAATTACAAAATCGACCATATAAAGCTTGTTTGGCACTGCTTAAAAGTTTGAATAGTAAGTTAGGGCCTATTTTACAAAAAAAAAAAGTAAATTTAAAAATCATATTTGGAAAAATTTATGATGACATTGATGAGTTAACACAACATCTTGAAAGTACGTTTGACTTACTTTAAGCACAACAAGACATGCTCTATATCCATGATATAGTGCTTCACGTGGGAGTCACGAGGTAAATATTTCATGATGACATTTGATAGAATCAATTTCCAAGACTCGCTATTAAAATTGAAGGTTGAAGACTCGCTTGTGATGAAAAGTTCAAACAAGGACTAAAGTGCACATTTAAGTGTAATTTGAGAACTATAATTGTAATTTTAAATATCATATAATTTTATTCCCTGGAATATTATCGGATTCAATCTATTTGATTTTAGTTTACATTTTTCTTAACTAGAATTATGTCACAATGTACAAATCAATAAATGCAGAAAAGGATTTTTCAGGAATCCAAGAAGGAATTTCATGTAATGTGTTTATTTTGCATCCAAAATTAGTGAAATATCGTCCCTATTTGATTTACATAGAAAAGTTAATAAAATTTAAGTAATAGTCCATAATTAATTTTATTTTTATATTTTTATGGGATATATAACTTTTATTAAATTTTAAAATCAAATAAAAAATTGAATTTTTATTAAAATCAAATGGGGGTTATCATAAGCGAGTAATTTTGACTTCACATTGGTTTAACTTGAACTCTTGAAATAGGAATAAGTCCGATAGTTAATTCTTCTTTGACTTCTTTTTTTTTTTTTTAAATTACGTTCAAATTAAATTCGTTTTGCATTACAAATGTAACAATACATGACTATGATAAACAAAGAATTTACGCAATTCATTATATATCTCTAAAACATAATTTGATTTCATTGTTGTTGTATCTCTTTAATAAAAATTGAACTCTTGACAATTAATTCAAATTTGTCTAATGAAGGAAGCATCGTATGATAAGTAGAGGTGTTAAATGGAGCTTGACTTGCAATATTTTTTATTTTTTACTGAAATTGTATATTTCTCTCAATTTGGTAGTCGGCTCAATACACAAGCGGATAGAGATGGCAAAAAAACCCGCCCACCCCGAGCGGGTTGGCGGGGC